ATATTTAAATAATTTTATTCTTACTTTAAAAACTAAATTAAATAGATGTTTTAGTCTTTTTAATCAAAATTTATTAAAGCTACGTAACTTTGATATATATTTTTGTCTAATTTTTTTGTAAGTACAACTTATAAATATTTGTTTTTATATTATTTATATAAAGTTTTAATTATATATTTTTTTTACTAAGAATGATAAAAATTTACGACAATAGCATAGTTATAATACCACGTAATCTTGTAAAGTTACAAGTTTATGTAGTATTAAATGAAATAAAACATAATGTTAAACGAGTTGATGTATAGAATATTATGAATAGATTCCTAAATGAAAAGAACTAATTATATAAAAACATATTATGTTATAAGTTTATAATGCCACATGACATTATAATTGTAGCATTTTTGTAAAATTTATTTACTTTTTATCATATTTTTTAAAAAATAATTGTTCTTTTCATTTAATTTTTTTTAAATAATTGTTTTTATCTTAAAAATTACAATAAATCTCAATATTTATAGTAAAGATATGAGTACTCAAAACTTTTTGTAAATAATATAGGTAGAAATTACATTGGAAGTGGATCCTAACTTCTCTTACTAAATATATGAACAATTTAAAAAAAAAAAAGTTAAAATACCAATTTGGACTCTTAACTTTCAAGTTTGTACCAAAATTGTTCATTAACTTTAAAAGATACTAAAATTATTCCGAAACTTTAATTTTCAATACTTAAATAGTCATTCTGTTAATAGAAGTGTCATATGGCTCATTATCTTATCACAAAATTAGTTTTTTTTTATAAAATACTAATGACAGATAGAATCAAACGGCCAGATTTTGATGTCGTGATATATTTTATTTACATATCAGATTGATATATAATTAAAGTTAAAAAATTAAATTGATATTTGTAATCAAAGTTTAAAAATTAAGTTAGTATTTATTTTCAAATTTCAAAAATTAATTCGGTACTTGTTTTTAAAGTTTATGAATTAAGTTGATACTTGTTTTTAAAACTTAGAAACTAAGTTGGTACTTGTACTTTTTTAAATTGAAAGACAATTTTAGAACAAATCTAAAAGTTGAGGGTCTAAATTGGCATTTTAACCTTCAAAAAAAAGAAAAAAAGGGGGATGAAAGGATAGTCTACATGTTTGCATTCAAGGGGGACGAGTTTTGATCTTTCCTTCCACAAGGATTGGCTTTGAAATAAGATCAGTTTAGATGGTAGGAGATCTACAGAAATAATATAAAGTATGATGAATAACAACTCATCGCGGGCAACTAGTCCTTGTTGTCAACACCGACAAATGAAACCGTAATTTCACAAGGTTTGAAGAAAGAAAAACTAAAATATTTTTCAAAGGAAATTGTCACTGTTCAAAATATGAATTTTAACGGAAATGATTTCACAATTTTGTAACCTCTTGGCGCAGAGATTGCCCGTGTACTTATAAACAACAATTATTATTTATTTATATTTAATGTAGGATTCTATTCTATCCAGATGCAATCTCGGCAAAAGGTACTCGTTTGCCTCTTAACTTTTCAACTTTTAGGGTTTTTACCCTCCATATTACAATATATGAATTTTTACCCTCAACGTTTTCGAGGTGAGGAAATGAGGCAAAATTTAACGCCGAAATGTCACGTGTAGCACGTGCACCGTTGGCCTCCGTCAAGTATGCGCATGTCAGCGCCAACTCAGAATTTTTTGACAACCTGGCATGCTAACTTGGAACCCCACAAGAGGGAAGTCTACTTGCTGCCAATTTTTTTGTGGGTCCCACTGCTGACTAAAGGTTTTAAAAAAAAAAGTTAAATCCTCGATTCAGTCCCTTAACTTTCAGTTTTCAACTAAATTTACCTCGAACTTCAAAATATTGTGACTTGGCACCAAAAATATAATTTAATAAATAAATAAAAAAAATTTTCTCCTTCTCTTTCCTTTTCTCCTTCCCCTCCCTACTGGATTCAAAGGAACCCAGCACCAGCGCCTGGGACAAATCACAGTTCTTTGCCTCCTTTCTCACAACATCAAGAACAGCATCAATGAGCTCAGCTCCCTCAGTGTAATGGCCCTTAGTCCAGTTGTTACCAGTGCCAGATTGATCAAACACAAATATCACTATCAAATATGAAATTTCAAACACTAAAATACCC